AGACCTTGGCAACCCTGTGATGAAATCCATATTGATCGTCTCCCACTTCCATTCCAGAAGTTCTATATTTTGAGCCAAACCACCGTGCCTTTGGTGCTCTACTTTCACTTGTTGGCAATTTGGACACTTAGAAACAAACTCTGCAATGCCCTTCTTCATGCCATTCCACCAATAAACTTCTCTCAAGTCACGGTACATCTTCGTGGAACCCGGATGAATGGAATATCTGGAGCTATGAGCTTCCTCCATAACCCTTTCTTGGAGTCCATCTACCATAGGTACACACAATCTACTTTGATACCTCTTTGCTTTTGAACATTTGCTTTCAACTCAAGCAAAATGAGATCTTGATCTTGCTTATCTTTCACTTCTGACACTAGTGATGATTCGGCCCCATTCACCACCGCTATTCCTCCTTCTGTGGAATCTGAAAGTCTGACTCCCAGGCATGCCAGTCTGTGTACATCTTTTGCTAACTCTCTCCTTCCTTCTTCAATGTGGGCGGTGCTACCCATAGACAACCTGCTCAAAGAATCAGCAACAACATTAGCCTTACCTGGGTGGTAAAGAATACTTAGGTCATAGTCCTTAAGTAATTCTAACCACCTCTTATGTCTGAGATTAAGCTCTCTCTGAGTAAGAACATATTGAAGGCTCTTGTGATCAGTAAATATATCAACATACACACCATACAAGTAATGACGTCAAATCTTCAAAGCGAACACTACAGCAGCCAACTCTAAGTCATGGGTTGGGTAATTTTTCTCATGAACCTTCAACTGCCTGGAGGCATAAGCTATAACCTTGCCATTCTGCATTAAGACACAACCCCAAGCCAACTCTAGATGCATCACAATACACCACAAAACCTTGAGTACCTTCTGGTAACGTCAACACTGGAGCTGTAATCAATCTCTTTTTCAATTCCTGAAAGCTTTTCTCACAAGCTTCACACCATTGAAATTTTACTGCCTTCTGAGTCAACTTTGTCAAAGGAGATGCAATAGATGAGAACCCCTCTACAAACCTTCTATAATAACCAGCTAAACCCAAGAAACTCCTAATTTCAGTTGGAGATATGGGTCTAGGCCAATTCTGCACTGCCTCAATTTTCTGAGTATCAACTTTAATTCCATCAACGGATACAATGTGCCCTAGGAATGCCATAGACTTAAGCCAAAACTCACACTTAGAGAACTTGGCATTACAACTCCTTATCCTTTAAAGTTTGAAGAACTATTCTGAGATGGTTAGCATGATCTTCTTCGTTCCTTGAATAGACTAGTATGTCATCAATAAAGACAATAACAAACATATCTAAATAAAGTTTGAAGACTCTATTCATCAAGTCCATGAAAGCTGCCGGTGCATTGGTCAAACCAAAGGACATGACCAAAAACTCATAGTGGCCATATCTAGTCCTGAACGCTGTCTTTGGAATATCACATTCCCTTATTCTTAATTGATGATATCCTGATCTGAGATCAATCTTTGAAAAGCAAGTGGCACCCTGAAACTGATCGAAAAGATCATCAATCCTCGGAAGAGGGTACTTATTCTTAATGGTAACCTTATTCAACTGGCGGTAATCTATACACATCCTAAGGGAACCATCTTTCTTTCTCACAAACAAGACCGGAGCACCCCAAGGTGATACACTCGGTCGAATGAAACCCTTCTCTAGAAGATCTTTCAACTGCTCTTTCAACTCTTTCAACTCTACTAGTGCCATTCTATAAGGCAGAATAGAGATAGGACGAGTATCTGGAATGAGATCTATGCCAAAATCTATTTCTCTCTCAGGAGGAATTCTGGGTAGATCATCAGGAGAAACTTCTGGAAACTCTCTTACTATAGGAATAGATTGAAAATGAGGGATCTCAACACTAGAGTCATGAACTCGGACTAAGTGATAGATACAACCCTTTGAAACTAACTTTCTTGCCTTAAGGTACGAAATAAAACGACCCTTAGGCACTGCTGAACTACTACTCCACCCTAAGACTGGCTTACTCGAAAACTGAAACTTGACCACTCGAGTTCTACAATCTATCGATGCATAACAAGCATGAAGCCAATCCATACCTAGAATGACATCGAAATCTACCATGTCTAACTTAATCAAATCAACCATGGTGCTCTTGTGATTGATAGAAACAGGACAATCACGATAAACTCTTTCAGCTAGAGTAGATTCCCCAACAGGTGTAGAAACACAAAAGGGTTCACAAAGTCTTTCAGGAAGAACATCAAACTTATTCGCAACATAAGGAGTTACAAAAGATAAACTTTCTCGTGGATCTAACAAAGCATATACATTAAAAGCAAAGACTTTGATCATACCAGTGACAACATTCGGAGAGTTCTCTTGCTCATGGCGACTTGATAGCATAAAGGCGATTTGCTCCTCCACCGGTACTAGAAGTATCTCCTCTAGGTGTCGTCCTGTCTGGGGGAGCAACTGATGAAGATTGGGTCCTACTACCCAAACTTCCACTACCTCGATTATTCTTAGGGCACTCCTTCACGAAGTGACCCTCTTTCCCACACTTAAAAACATCCTGTCTGGCCATCACGACATTTGCCCGGGTGGGTTCTACCACACCTAGCACATGTAGGAAACAAACTGCTTCTTTGTGCCACACTACCTGAAGACTGTACTGGTCTAGCCTTGAAGTCCTTCGAATTCTGACCATTAAACTCACCTCTGAATCTGGGTGCAGGTGCTCTAGCAGATGATGGAGCAGATCCCTTTTGCCTTTGTTGAAAGGAGGAATGGTTTGAATTACCTTTCTGCTGCCCGGACTCATTACCTGTCTTGGCTCTCTTACTCCTAAACTCTTCCCTGTCCCTCAGCTTCTCTTCCTCGACCTGATGTACATAGACCATCAACCTTGATATGTCCATGTCCCCGATAAGCATCGCAGCCCTACCTTCCTTACTCGACAACCGAGACAGCCCAGCAACAAACAAACTCATTATATTCCTCATATCCGCAACCATCTCCGGAGCATAGCGGGATAGTTGGGTGAACTTCAAACTATACTCATGAACACTCAGGGACTCCTGCTTAAGTGTAAGGAACTCACGTACCTTGGCCTCTCTCAATTCTCGAGGAAAGAAATGCCCCAAGAAAGCTTCCTCAAAACAGGCCCAACTCGCAGGTGGTGCATTCTCAGCTCTGCCCCCTTTCCACTGGTCAAACCATGTTCTAGCAACATCCTTCAGCTGATACGCAGCTAGTTCAACCCGCTCAGTGTCTGCTACATGCATTACATCAAAAATCTTCTTCAACTCCTCAATGAAATCCTCTGGATCCTCAGTAGTGCTCGAACCCATGAAACTCGGAGGATTCATCCCCAAGAACTCACGGATTCTTGAAGTGTCAGCTCCTTCATGTCGAGCTCCCCTTTGCTGACCCATCTGATTAGCTACAGCTTGACTTAACATCCTAAATGCCTCTCTGAACTAGGCATTAGAAACTTCCCCTTGATCTTGCACTCCAGGTGCACAGGGTAACTCTTGCTTATCAACAAAACGTCTAGGAAGACGCCCTCTACCAACTCTTCGTGCAGGCATGACTATCTGAAAACACGCGCAAGCACAGATTAATAAGAAACTCTTTAGAGATCCACTCTAGCACACGAGATGAGTGTGAAAAAAGTGGGAAACCTTCCTAAATGTTGTAGCCTCCCAATTATAGATGTGGCGCGCTTCACACAGATAACTAGGACTCTACAGACACGGCTTCATAGATACCCTAGGACTCTTGAACTCTATGCTCTGATACCAAGTTTGTCACGCCCCGAGCCTACACCCTGGGCGGGACCAGCACTTGAAGACCATTGCTGGCCCCAAGCGAACCCTTGGCCTGGCTTTCTTAACTCAGCGGAAACTTATCTCAAAAGCATAACCAAATGCAATACAAAGTCATAAGACAACTTAACTGATAAAGATCTGTCCCAAAAAGGGCAACTCGAGTCTCAAAATAGAATATTTACATATATATATAGATAAGAGACTCAATACTAACTGACTAACTGTCTATGAAGCCTCTAAAATACTGAGATGGATGTTGGGACATACCCCACAACATCCTACTAAAACAAAACTAAGATAATCACAATAACCGAGTCCTCCGAAAGCAAGGAGGCTCACCACTGACTCTGGAGTGCTCAACTGGATCAACGGCGTGCTAGATGCTGATCCTGGGTACTTGTGTCTGCATCATAGGACGATGCAGGACAACTGACATCAGTACATGGAATGTACGAGTATGCGAGCATGGAAAGCTAAACCACAACTTAAGCTTGAAAAGAATATAAGAGAACACTTACCTTGGCTCTGTTCAACTCATGAATAACTGAACTCAATATAAAGCAATAAGACACATGCAATATATAAAGCTTGCAAAACTCTTAAAACATGAC